GGGGGGGGGGCAGGGGGGGATGAACCATGGCGAGGGAGGGGGGGTACGGAGCACCCCCTCCCCCCCCCCCAGCAGCGTGTAGCGACCACCTTGTGGGGGGAAGCGGAGGGGTCTCACGGGGGTAATGGGGGTCTGGGGAGGTCCAACAGGCCTTGCCAGGGAAGGGTTGTCCCATGTGGATGGAGCTGGGGGGGGGAGGGTCTCACGGGGGTCAGGAGGGTCTGAGGGGGTCCAGCAACCCCCACCAGGGTGGGTTGGTGAGAGTGGGATTCGTCACTGGTGGGTGTCACCCAGTGGGGTCCATCCCTGGTGGGCATCACCCCCTGCACCCCCTCCCATGGCAGCCTGGCCTCGCTGCTGGAAAGGCCTTTATTTCCCCCAAAATGGGTCCTGCAAATGCTGGGGGGGGAGGGATGAAGAAGAACCAGTGCCCCATGGCCAAGGGGTGCTGCAGCCATCACTGTTGGGGGGGTTCCTGCCCTCACTCAGGGAGGGTGGAGGAGGCACAGCCAGAGCGGGTAGAGGGGCTGCCAGGACCCCTTGGCAGCTCCATGTGCAGCTGGAGGCTGGATTTCCACCCTGGAGCAACGTGGTGGGCACCCACTGAGCCCCCCATGCCAGCCCCCCGCCGCTGGGGGTCCACCCTGAGCATCCATCCCCTCCCGAGGGGGGCAAAACCTGCAGCTCCCAAAGTCTGGAGCGCTCCAAATCTTTACTGCCGAGATCCAGGGGAGAGTCCACCAACACCGTGATGCTCATGGAGTCTTGTGGGGGGAGTGGTCGGTGCAGGGGAGCACCCCCAGCACCCTCTGGGCAGGGGGGGGTGAGGTCTGGTAGCCCCTCAGGGCTCCTGCTGGTACTGGCCCTCGGTGGCGGTGAAGAAGTCCTCGAGCACGCTCTTCATGTACTCGAAGGTGGGGCGCTCCTCGGGGTTCTCCTTCCAGCATTGCCTCATCAGCTCGTACAGCTCGGCCGGGCAGTTGTCCGGCTGCGGCATCCGGTACCCCCGCTCCAGGTTCTGGATCACCTCGGGGTTGGTCATCCCTGCCGGGGAGACACGGTTTGGGTCACCCCCATGTCACGGGTACCGCCCTGGGGATGCTCATCCCTGCCTGGACATCGCACTATGAGTCTCAGTTTGGGTCCCCCCACATTGTCGGGACCACCCCAGGGCTGGTCACAGGACACAGTTGGGGTCACCCCCCTGTCACAGGTGCCACTCTGGGGTTGGCCATCCCCGCCTGGACACCCACAGGACACCGAACTGGGGTCACCCCCCGCATCGAAGGCACCACCCCAAACCCCCGTGGGGAAGCTTCCCCCCACCTTTCCACCTCCTCCTCCAAACGCCCCTCCAAAGGGGTCTTTGGGGGATGTGGCTGGGGAAGGGGTGGGGTCCCCAGTTGGGGAGGGCAGGGAGCCAGGCTGGGAGCGTGTGTGCGTGCGGGAGTGCATGTCCACACTCGTGGGCGTGCGCTCGTGTGTGCCAGCCCCGCTGCCACGGGAGATCCTTCCAGCTGCTGGGAAATCCTGACCTGGATACGGGATCCGGCCGTGGGTGACGATCTCGGTGAGCAGGATCCCGAAGGACCACACGTCCGACTTGATGGTGAACGTGCCGTAATTAATGGCCTCCGGCGCCGTCCACTTGATGGGGAATTTAGCCCCTGGAAAAGCAGCGGGGAGGGGGGAGGGAATAAAGCATCCTGGAAGAGCTGGGATCACCCCTCTGTGTTTAATCTGCTGGGAAACCCCGGGTCAGGCTCAGTCCCTGCCGACCACCTGGGTTTGGTGGCATCCAGCCCCCGCTGCCCCCTACCAAAAGCAGGGCTGGGTGGGCAAACGGGGGTCCTGCAGCCCCCTCCCCCACCCCCCCATCTGAGGGGAGAGAGATGGAGGAGGAAAAAGTGTCCCTGCACCCCTTCCCTGCTCCCAGGGCACTCTGGGGACCCCCCTTCCAGAGGCCAGAGTGGGTGGGGGTCCCTCCTGCCGTGTCCCCCGGGGCGGGGGGGGGGGTCCCACCCTCTCGAGCCGTGTACTCGTTGTCCTCGATGAGCCGGGCCAGCCCAAAATCGGCGATTTTGCAGCACAGCGCCTCCGAGACGAGGATGTTGGCGGCCCTCAGGTCGCGGTGGATGTAGTTCTTGGCCTCGATGAAGGCCATGCCTTCGGAGATCTGTGATTTGGGGAGGGGTTGCAATCAACTGCCCCGGCTCCAGCCCCCCAAACCCCTCCCAGTCCCAGCCCCTGCCCCCCTCACCTGCGCAGCCATGTCCAGGAGCTTGTTGATGCCGAGCTTGATTCCTTCTGAGGTCTTGAGGAAGTCCACGAGGCTGCCTGCAGGGAGGGTCTGAGCACCAAAACACACGCACTGCCCCCCTCCCCAGCACCTCGGGGTCGTGAGGTGGGGTGGGTGGGGGGTGTCACCAGGGCACTGTCACCCACTGCAACCCAAAATGCGGGACCGGGAAGCTCATGGTGCCCCGGGAAGGTGGGCAGGGGACAGAGGGCAGGAGAACACCCCTCCTGCAGGGTCCTCCTCCCCTCCTTTATCCCCGAGACAACGCAGGAGCGTGGCAGGGATGCCAAAAGTGGCCCGAGACACGTGAACCGGCACAAACAGCTGGATTGGGACAGCCAGGAGCTGAAAGACGGGGACTTTTGGAACTGCCCGGGGAGGCGGTGGAGTCCCCACCCGTGGAGGTGTCCCAGGAAGGCCTGGCCGTGGCACTGGGCTGGGGGATCGGGCACAGGCCTGGGCTCGGATCTCGCAGGAGTTTTCCAGCCTAAATCACCCTTGTGGCTGTGTGACCACATCCCTCCACAGCTCCCCCACCCCCCACCCCCCCCGTGGGGTCTCACCCTTCTCCATGTACTCGGTGATGATGTAGATGGGCTCCTTGGTGACCACGGCGTAGAGCCGCACCAGCCGCGGGTGCTGCAGGTTCTTCATGAGGTTGGCCTCGGCCAGGAAGGCGCTGGGGGACATGCTGCCCGCCTTCAGGCTCTTCACAGCCACCTTCGTGTGCCCGTTGTAGAAGCCTGCGGAGAGCCGGGAGGAGCGGGATGGGGAGAGGGACACGCCCCTGTCCCCCGGGGGTGGGTGGCACCAAGGAGGCAGCGAGGGGGCTGCTCCCAGGGTCTGGAGCATCCCAAGCCGAGGCTGCACGAGGAAGAGAGGCTGGAGGTTGCAAAGGTCGGTGGGAGGCTGCAAAGTTGGGCTTGAAGAGGGACCCCCACTGCTCCCAGAATTCCAGCCAGAGCCACAGCAAGGGACATTTCCCAAGTGGGGGCCAAAGCCAGCAGCTGCTCCCACGGTGGGCAGAGCCCAGCTCCACAGGGACAGGACCCCTGTCATTCCATCCTGCCAGTGGAACAGGGATAAGGGTGGCTGGGATGGAAGAGGGGGAAGACTGAGCTGCTCTGGGTGGTCCAGAAGGATTCCTCCTTCTTCCAGGACCCCCGTGGAAAGCCATGGGTCCCACGCCTGGGCCTATGCTGGCTGCTCCAGGAGGAATCCCAGCTGGATCCCTCCCATCCCGAGGATGCCGCGGGGAGGCCTGGCAGGCTCTGCCCACGCTGGAACCTCAGCCAGGAGGAAGAGCCCCAGTTTCACCCTGACTCACTCACCCATCCAGACTTCTCCAAACTGCCCCGCTCCCAGCTTCTCCACCAGCTTCAGGGACTCCCTGGGCACCTCCCACTCGTCCTGCCACCACGGCTTCTGCGGCTTCTGCGTCCGGCAGGGTTTGCCCAGGCGGGTGCAGAGCCCGTCGGAGCTGCCTGGGGTTGGGGGGAGGCACGAGGTGGGGGGTCAGGGCAGGCAGGGGCACCGGGGGCCGGGCAC